CTTACCTAACGGGACTAACTGTCTCAGAACATACTCGTGAGCAACTTCGAGCACGTGCTCCCAACAAGAATCTGTATAGTCGTGACATGGAAATTTGAGATGTTCTTCGTCTTGTCCATGTTCATCTTAAGGCCAACCCGTTGCGAGACTGTTGAGGTCTTGAGCATAGTACTAAGGTCCTTATCACCTTTCAAGTATCGTTTAAATGTCTAAAAGCTTTATCATACCCTTAGTGAAAGCTTTATTATATCAGAAAAGGCTTCCTCTGTAACGAGGATATCAGGGCGTATCAAGCACGCTACCCCGACGGATTGGCGGTCTTCACATATTTTCGAAATATTTTTTTGTAATTATTTCGAAAATATGCAAGTTTCCTCACGGTTTTTCCTTCACCGCTGAGCACGAAATAAGTCAGCACTTAAAATTAACAAATTCATTGGTGCTGGCACCGGGGATCGAACTCACGTTGCTCGAGTAAATTGAATTGAAGGCGAGCGCCCGGACACTAAGCTATCATGGAATATATAGAGAATAGATATAATTATTTTATAATATTTATAGAGTAAGATGAGGATGGATGGTGTGGTCATTTGCTTCTACCCCGGATCGAAGGATTATGTAAACGTAGATTACGGCTAATGGACTTGCCAACATGTTTAATATAAGGACAAACAAGTGTCATGAAATTGTCAATTTCAATTTCAAATTGAGTCTGTTTGTTGTTACTTACAATGATATTTAAATAGTTAGATGACGCATGTCTATACTGCGCGGCGTTTAAAAATTATTCCGCTTTACATTTAAATGACATAAATATAAGTGAATGTGACAAATAATATGAACATATGATACGGAATGAGATAGCAGTCTCTATCTAATTAAATAATTGGTGTAATTTGAGTGCTTCAGTTTTGGTACGCTAGTGTCATATCTCCTTAATATTTGTGTATAGTTTCAATGGTTACTTACAATTTTTATTCCAAAAAAAGAGCGATTAATTATTCCTTTTGATTGATTTTTTTTTGTAAATGTAATATTTTCTTTACCTTAGCGAGTGTTTGAAACCTTTCAATATAGGTGATTTTTACACTTAATTATTTTTGAATGATCTAAGAGACGTTAACAATCGAAGTACGAAAAGAGACATGACTTAGTAATGGTTAGTATTAAACAATACAACATTGAAATACAAAAAAAAGTTAAAGTCGTATAAATAAAAATACAAACAGTTAATTACATAATATTTTATTTTTTATCTTACATGACATAAACATTTTCACAGATCTAAGGTTATGTGTAAAAGATTTTAATTATCTTATGTGTAAAAGATAATAAATACTGCTAAAACTTCAAGCTATATTATGTTTGTTAAATCCATGACGTTGATAACTTTCGAAGAAAACGGGAGATACAGGGAGGGAACGAGAGAGGATAAATTATTTTTTGTTCTCCATGCTCTGGTACCAGGCCTGACATGTCTCGGAGGCTATTTCGCATAGGGCCGACATTGCTTTACCAGTATTGTCGTATTCTGAAATGATCGGAATAAATTAGACGTGTATTTGCCTGTATATTATATAAATAAATAATAATAAAACTATCATATACGTTAAAAGGCGTATCCTTGGCGGATAGTGTTTTATTTGAATAATATTTAAAGGCGAGATGTCTTTGGAGATGGATTAATGCATAGGACAAAATTAACCAATTCGATGGTTTAGGGTTCTGAGTGTCTAGTTATAAATCGCCAAGTTATGAAAAATTATCTATTCAGCTAGTCATAAAATCCTGTTTACATTCCAATGATTTACAATTAATCACACTGCGAAAAAAATAAAACTAGCAAGTACTAATTTTGCAGAAGACTAGATACACACCAGTATTTCCTCGTTTCCCAAAAATTGATCCATTGAACGGCGGTTTTCGGTAGTTGGCCTCACTTGGAGCGATCAGATAAATAATCATGACAACAAGGCAGAATGTTATGAATAAACGCATGTTGAATTCTGAAATAATAAATTTTCTCATCATTTCAAGTCTCGACAAATATTTACTTAAACTTTTTAAGTGCTAAAATATAAACGACGACAAAATTATTTATATACAGAATACAAACCAATTTTGAATAACCTTTAATAGACATTTTTTTTTACCTTTTTATATCTTTTAGCTACTGATGTTGACAGCAGAAGCTTAAAGGTGAAAATGATACCCTGTTCTTCAACCCTCCAGCTTTTATAGTGCCGTCTTGAACGACATCGTAATAAAGTTAGTTTCAATATAGATTGATAAATTTTTCTAGCATATCTATTTATCTTGAGATTTATACATTGGCGATAAAATCTTTATTCCATTAATTTTAACATATTCTTATAAGAAATTTAGTATAATAGCATAATTAGTTTAGTGGGCAATTTTGCTACAGAAGCGTTTTCTAGAATCCTATCTACCGTGTTATAGGATACAGTGATTACAGTGGATTAACCACATAACAAGATATATGATAACATAACACATAGCAAATGATACGGGCCCGGCGCGAAAGGAGGCCCCCTATATTTAAACCCACTCATCTCTGTCTTAGCGTTATTTTTTGAGTCAAACTTATTAAAGTAAGTAAGAGTATTGAAATTTTTTTTTACCACTTTATACTTTATATTTGCAGATCAAGGGCTGTTTGAAAGAATTGGCTACGGGCCCCGTGCTTCCTTAATGTGACACTGAAAAGATTTGTGATTTCTAGAAAACGCAGTATTTAAGAGATCGAATTAAATGACAAACAAAAAATTATTTATTTTCGGTGTTACAGGTGTTAGAAGTGCCTGCCTTAATAAGTTTAGATAATATAATCGTTGACTGGTGCCTAAAACAGAATAAATATTTGACAGCAGAGCTTCATTCTTGTTCCTCTCTAGATGTCTAAATTTTTAACTGATGGTAGATTTAGGTTTTGACATTTAAGTAAAAAAAATAATGAATAATTTATTTTCAAGAGAACCCCACCAAGAGAGTAGACATTACTCTCTTAGTAGGGACAAACGTATTATCTTTATGTAATGCCATTATATTTTCAACTTTCAAAGCCCTTTTCTGAAGTAAAAATTTATTTAAATTGTAAAAAAGCCACGATTAATTAAAATTTTTTCGTAATCTTAATTTTTACGTACATAGTTAAAAACATGCGGGCTGAAATGACAAACCAAAGTAAAGTCACAGAAACTCGGTGTTCACAATTTTGAAATAAGAACCATTTAGTATAATTATGAATGTAGGTATGTCATAGTTCGTTGTACGTATCCTCCAACAGTAATTTCGAACTCAAACTAAGTTTTAATCCCTAGAGTGATGGTCTCTCTTCGTAATCTATATGCGGTCAGCATCCAATAATCCAACAATTGAATTTTGTGACGAGATGAGAGAATGGACATCTCAGAGCTATATAACGAGGGTGGGACGGCTTTTCAGCATCACTCAAGCTTCAGCTCCCTTCAGCGATACTTCTGAAACAAAAACACGAAGTAAAATTCTTAAGTCATACATTTCAGCCAGCCCATTTTCATCGTTTCTTATTATCTAAAATTGTTTTAGATGGCCGGAAGCATGACAAAGTTTTCTGTGTGGTTCATCTGTGTGATGGCAGTTTTGCTGTCTTTATTTGAAGTCAGTGAAGCCAATTACAAAAACGCACCAATGAATGGAATAATGTTTGGAAAAAGAGGACCTTCTGGTAAGCAAATAGAAAAAGTCTAGATGGCGCTGCTTAATCTTTTCACAAACGTTACATTGGATTGGCTTTCCATATTTTTTTGTGTACGATTTGCTAATTTATAAGAAATTAATTAATAGTTCGTACATTATATGAAAGAATATTTAAACATATTATTTTCATTTTCATTTTCTCTACCGAGTTTTGAAATTATATATTTTGCATTTGTACTGTATTAAATAATACAAAAAACGAAAAAAGGAACTTTCATTGTAAACTATAGTTATTGTTTTTACTTTTAGAATATGAAGTAAGAAGCAAAACTTTTACCGCACTATGTGAAATCGCAACTGAAGCATGCCTGGCCTGGTTTCCTTCTCAAGAAAACAAGTAAAATCTATAATCTTTAAAGAAAAATATGATGGCACTTGGCTACGGAACTACATGAAAGAAAATGTTTACGATATCCCTAATCTCTGAATAATATACACTTCGAACTCCTTATATATAGAGTTTAAACGCGTTGTTTCTACTAGGAGAGTTTATTTAATAAGACACATAAACAATAGTTTATATTATCTTAAACTAAAAGTCTAATAAACATTAATACCTAATACATTGTTTTATTATATACATACCGTAAGGTACCACTTTACAAAACAAACTCACTTTTAAAACTTAAGAGTTTTATAAATCTATAACTTTTATTTAAAATACGCTTAGAAACGCCGCCTTTTTAAGCAGTGTTATGTCTATAAGTTTTATACATTCCCATAGATTTCAGATTGGTTCTACAATTTTACTAAGTAAACTCTGGAATAACCTACCCTTTCATCCCTGTCCTGGGATTATGCAATTGCATGGCAGTTGATTTTTTTAATTAAACAAAATTTAAAAGTTACTTTCTGTTTCCTGTTGTATGGTTATGGCAATACTCATAATAATAACTAAAAGACATTTACTATTTTAAGAACTACAGACACTACCATACATTATGTGCACCATTTTTTTTGTGGAGTAACTAATTTAAATATATTAAAATATATTTTTTCTAAAAAAAAATATAAAATTGGCAATCTTAAAATTATTGAACTGATTCAGAATCAGATTCACCTTTGACATATGTCAATAACAATGCAGTGACGTTTCGCAATTCGCATTGGAAAAACTAAGTAATTCGAATCTACCTTACCTTATATCTAAAATGGAATTTCAAAGTTCTGAACTCGTGGTGAAATAATGATATTGGAATAGCTTGATTATATATTTGATACGCCTGTGCTTAATCTTCAACATGACAACGAAAGAATTGTATACCAAGGTAAATTTCAGGTGTTTTATGTTTTGATATTGTTTTTTTTCATCGTGTTCACTTTGTACATATTATAAATTTGAAAATATTGTATTATTCATTTAGGTGACTTATTATAGTCCACTAAAAGGAAAGTAAACTTAAATTTCTTTAGGATTACATCAGTTGTGTCCATTTGGATGCATTATTTTCGGGTAAATATGTATTACACCTAAAATACTTTTATTGCATATAGGTAGGTATATAAAATTAATCCCTCATAATCGTTGCTTTTATGAATTAGTTTTTAGTGCATGTTAAAATTGCAATTGTTTTAATTCATAGTTAATCTGAATATAGTTTAGTTTATTTCCCTTCTTTCGTGTCTTTGTCTTCATTTTCAAGTATATAGTTTTTTTTATTTTTTGTTACATTTTATTACTTAGATTTACTTTATTTTATAAAAATGAAATGTCATGTTCCATAATACACTTTCTTATATGGGTATATATAATTTACAAATATTCTGAGTTTAAAAGAATATATTTGTCATACCATACTAATTACTAATATAGGGAATTTTTGTAGTTGATATAAACACCAACAAAACAACCTTGTTAGCACCAAAATGTATGCAAAATAAACTTGTTCTTATGAATATTTTATTAGCAGTATAGCTGGGTTGCATAATCTTTCCTTCTATGTTACTTATTTGTTTTTAACACTTAAATGTGATTTGATTCAACCACATTTTTGTTTTCATGTCATAGGTTTACAACATAAAATGTAATGAACTGAATAAATAACAGAATTGGATATATTCTGTTATTTATTCAGTTATTATTAAATATATATCTGAAAATTATCACTTTTCACTCAACATAGGTCTAATAAGAATGTCATTATTGTTTTATTTAATTTTTTTTTTGGAAAATATTTAAAGTTAAAAACAATGTTTGTTTAACCATGTAAACATTAGATTTTCTTTTTTATTTTATAATTATTTCGATTAGTACATGTAATTTTTGATATAGATAGATTTAAAGAGATATAAGGGAGTTAGTTATCATTAGGCAGTAGGGATGAGTTTTATTTAAAAACATCTTTAAATAGAATTGAATCACATTTAAAGTAATTTTGATAATTTAAACACAAAATTAGAATGTTAAGAATGGGGAAGAAGGCTTATCATTGTTATAGTAATTTAATACATTATACAAGTAACAAAAAGCAGAACAAATGATTAAGAATCATATATTTATTATGTATTTAATGGTTTATATCATACATACCATACCATTTTTAATTCTTGCATGTTCATGATAGCATTCTAATGCTCATTTTATTTAATACAAAAGGCCTAGCTTTGGAAAGTATTTCTGTTGACATAACCTTTTGACCATTTGTATAAATACAAAAAAGATAACACTTCAAATAAATAAAATCATGAAAATATGGTAAACAGTAATATCTATTTTTCCAGTCAGTGTTATAATGATACTGACGTAAAAACAAGTCTTTAGGTTAAATTAAATGTCTTATCCAGGAGGTAGTTAATAATTTAATGATGCGGATGGCATGATACTATTTTACAATATATAAACATTCCAAAGCTTTCAATAAATTAGTTAAATTATTTTCATTCATTGTTTGTAAAAAGAGGAAATAACTTATGTAAAAACCTCCTACTTTTCATTACGAATTCCGTTTAGCCTATTGTTAGTAGGCTAAACGGAATATTTACATTTTAAGTGATATAAAATGATTAACAAATATGTTTGTAAGATTTTTAATACTTCAACTACAAAGATAAAAGTAAGTGGTTACTTCTAAATTGATAGTTTGAGTTAGCCTTATATTATTTAATTCAACATTCAACTGTCAGGATGCCCGAGTGTGGGTAGAACATCCAGTGAAAGTATGGGAGGGTGCTACGGTGACATCAGATTACCGCTCCGGGGTCCTCATTGTGAAAATAGACCAGACTGGCGAAATAAGACAAATCAAGGTAAATATAATTCATTCATTCTTTACTTTGCTATTCTACTTAGAAAGGATGTTATCTACTTCTCCACTAGTCTTCCTTATTTCCTTATAATATATTCTATTGCTACAATTGGCAAATATTAATAAAGTGAATTACAATAATTTAAAGGTAAACGCAGAATTTTTACAAGTCTCTGGTGATACCCTAAAAAAGCCACCCTGAAACTGAGTAACAATTTTGCAATGAGTATATCCTATGCTTATGTCAAATAACCGCGCTCAGTTGTGTTTTTCTAACTTATTACTTTGAAGAACAAGCCTATACATTTGAAGCAGTTTCTTTTTCAACTAACTTTTACATTTACAATGATTTTTTTTAAGAGATGTCTGTTATAGTCTGCCCTATGACTCTCCTAGGTGCCTGATCGTCATAAAAATACGCCAAATTATATTTATTTCAGGTTTTGTTATATGCTTTGTACCGTGGGATGTGTGTTGTTCGCAATATTTGGAATCGTTTAAACTTTCAGAATAAATCAGCTAATGGATTTATTAATACTAAAAATTGAAATCCAACGAAATGTGTTTATAACGGCAGCAAACTTCATTTATAACTTATATTAGCCGATTGAAATGTAAACCAGATTCACTTATAAAATATTTGCAGTAAAGATCGTTGTCTAGCAAAGTTTATTCACCAAAATATTATTCACATACATAATGCGAATTAATCAAAGTTGGAGCAAGCAATATGTGTACTATCTATTTGAGTATCTGTATCAGTACCAAGTGACTCAATTATGGAGTTACCTACTTTCGTATGAGTGACATTCGTCAAACGAATTTAAAAAAATAGTCATCCCTGAAAGACGATTCAGCGAATCCGCGTCACTTTATCAGCATTCAAAATAACATTGCATTAAATTTACAAGAGATATGTTTAATAATTTATTCTTTAGGTTAAAAAGGAGACTGTAATTTGACCAGATGATGAAAAATGTTTTCTTTTTCTCATAATGACGATCAAGACGTCGAGCATTATCTTGAAATTTTGAAATTTCTACAAATTGTCGTAAGTTTGTTTTGTTGGATTCGGATATGAACTTTGTTCGAAAAAGAAGAAAAAGTAAAGTTGCAATCTATATTAATCCCACTGCTGGGCAATGGCCTTCTCTCTATGGAGTGTATTAGAGCATAGACACATCTACGACACGATCCAAACTTCACGTCACTTCGAAATACTTTTTATTACTTCGAAAATATGCTGGTTTCCTGATGATGTTTTTATTCACTGCTGAACACGTGATTATTCAGGAGTTAAAATTAACAATTTTATTGTTGCTGGCTCCGGGATTTGAACTGAGGTTGGACGAGTATATTGAATTTAAAGCGGACACTGAGCTATCACGCCTTATTACTGTAGACAAATAAGTATGAATAGCACGTTCGATACCGTCACAAAAGTTGTAAAAAGTTGTAAGAAACTAGAACTAGCAGGTCTAGTGTTCAATGTTTAGTACGAAGCAATTTGACTAGTAGTATTTTAATACTTCAACTAATATGACGTTAGTATATATTTTTTTCTAGTCCAGGAAAGGTTGTGCGCTTCTGCTTTAGAAATCGAAGTCGAAGTATCAACAACTACATTTTTATTTAATCTCCAGACTCCAAGGTCCAATAGCAATGAAAAAAAAAATGAGCTAAACGGAACTTAACGCAAAGTGATTTTTGAAATCGTTTCATAAACCAAGGAGTTCTGTGGTGACAAACACAAAAAAAATTCAATTACGAATTGCGAACCTACCTCTTTCCCTGAAGGCGGTAGAAAAATGTTGATGTTCCACGGTTCCGTCAACAGATAAAGGATGAGAACCACATGCCCCCGCTGCGCAACCCTTCGCTGCTTATCGGCGAGAACGACCTCACCTCGCTCTCCTACCTCCACGAGCCGGCGGTGCTGCACAATCTCAAAGTCAGGTAGGTGGAGTGTCTCAATGGTGCCCGAAACAACCCACATAACCCCACATAGCCCTGTCGTTTCTTTCACATCTCACATCCTTTGAAGGTTTTCCCCCGATACCAACAAAAACCGCCCAAATGCGAGTCGAACTCGCGCACGAATGGTTCCGTGCCATTATCTATAATAACGGCCAAAAATCATGTGTGTTGTATGCGAGCCCCAATTAAATATTATTTTAGTGCATATCTTGTCCTCTAAATATACTCTTCATAGCTATTGAGCTACGAAGTGTAGTTCGTATTGACGAACATCCTACAATTTTCTATCACATATTTATGAAAGTACTTTCCAGATTATAACTATTATTTATTACAGTAGGACTGGATGATAAATATCATGAGCATAAACTTTATTCTTCTTTAAAGTTAATAAGCACTTTGTCTATATTCATTATACTTGTTTATAAAATTTGTTATGTATAAATGAGCGTTATCTTACCCTCACGTATCCATGAAGAGTAAACAGGTTGCATTTACATATACAGCAATGACACAGTCATGTATTGTCATAAAAATGTTGGTTTCGTATTATTGGTTTTTGGTGCCGATATAATATTCTACATTTCGTTGGTACCTTTTTCGTTTTTTAAAGATTATAAGTTAACTAGCGACCGGCCCCGGCTTCGCACGGGTGCAATGTATTGTACATGTAAACCTTCCTCTTGAATCACTCTATCCAATAAAAAAAAAGAAAGCATCAAGATCCGTTGCGTAGTTTTCAAGATCTAAGCATACATAGGGACAGAAAGACAGCGGGACGACTTTGTTTTATACTATGTAGTGATATAATTAACTAACCCAACCATTAATTTAGTAATCCGGTTTAATAATGTAGTGATGACAACAATATGTAACTCAGATCTTCATCGTTATTAAAATCTTATTGTTTAAGTATTTTTACCGATTCATCGTGTTTTACTGTTCACAACGACGGAGCAAAATTAAAGACACAAATCTGTACACTATATATATATATATATATATATATATATATATATATATATATATATTTTACTGATAATGTTATGTCCGCGGTAAATTATGTCCGCAATTATTAGATTTTTATTACGTGAGAGAGTGGCAAACGAGTGGAGGTTCACCTGATCTTAAGTGATACCTGCCGTCTTTGGACATTTGCAACACCCCTAGGGTTGCAGATGCGTTGCCACTTTTTAATAAAGTGAGCCCCGGCCCCGGCTACCACACTCACCAGACGAAACGCAGAAGTGTAACACTTTACGCCGGTCTTCTGTGAGGTATTGGTACTAACCCGGACGGACCTGCCCATTCGAGCAACAGCGAACACCGTTGCGTGGCCCTACCACAGTTTTTGAGAGCAAGTTGTACGAGATGAGTGCGGCGAATCCTGGAACTCGTTAGAGTAACAGCGGAACAGTCGCATTATACTGTAAATAATAAGTGATAAGTCATCGCTATTTATTCGAGACAACTGTTTACTGCTTTACTTTGGTAGGGCTATGCAACAGCTGTCGAATTACACATGAACAAACATACGCATCAACATCAACATACGCATTTGCGAATTAAGTCTGAAGTCCTCGAGTATCAAACATTCACGACGCTGAACAAATAAACTTCGTTTTATTTCACTTCTCATTATTACATTACTCATATACATTACATGTACGTTACATAGTTTTGTGCTCTATTCTGAAGCCCTTATTCATGCATATCAATTAAATCAACAAACAGCCGACCACAACTCTAGTTTAGGCGACCTTCGTAACATTTTTCCTATAATTTTTTTCGCTTACCTCTAACAGTACACTAATCCGTACGTTTTGTCGTTAAGGATGCAAGGAGTGTCATGACATAGCTCCACAAAACCACCACCTTTTTAAGGTTTGTTAGTCGCCTACAATAACGATAGCTCATTGTCGGTTTTAATTCAATATATTCGAGCAACCTGGGGTCGATCACCAGTGTCGGCACCAATGAAGTTGTTAGTCAATCAAAGTCGCGTAAAAAAATTCGAATATATGTGAAGTCCGCCAATCTGCAGTGGGGTCGCGCGGTGGACTATGCCGTGATACCCTCTGTACAGTGGTGGCCTTTGCCCAGCCGTGGAACATTTATAGGCTGTTACTTTTCTACAATAACCTATCATCGGGTTAACTGTTCCTCGTTTTCCCTCTTTTTGAAAAGTGAATTAAAGTTTTTTGTTAAGTTACCAAACCATTTGAACATAATTATTTAACTTTGTCTAGTTGATTATGAATAAACATTCATATAAATTCGAATTGACACCAGCGGTACATTACAAATCATCCATTGAATAACAGCGAAATAAAATATTGTCCACAAATGTTCTGCAATAAGCAACATAATAGGCAAAATTTTGTTGCCAAATTTTTGTAGCAAAATATTAATAAATAGTCAAGAGTTATATCAATGCGTTTATCATATTCGATGAATATGCTCATGTATTAGACAGATGGATGACTCACGTTTTTTGTGTGTAGATTTTTTTTATATTCTCTTTATCATTGCAAACATCCTTATGTCCACGTGTCTGTTATCAGACAAAACTGGTTATTGTTTTCAATTTAAAAGTAAAAGATTGTATTTGTTAATTAATTGAGAAAATAAACTAAGCATTTAATAACATTTATTCGGAATAGTATTGTATTTTTTCTGTTTTAATGACATCTATCTATAATACAATTATTAGACTGAACCAAGTTAAGGTATCCTGAGTTACGTTAATATACTTTATTTTTATGTGGCGATTCCTGATGTCCAGTGGTAATCGCCGCCCTTAGGCGTCCGCAAACACGTTGCATATGGGTTGCCACCTTTTAACAAAATTGGCCCCTCACTCACCAGACGAAACGCAAAAGTATAAAACTTCTACTTCACGCCGTTCTTCTGTGAGCTCGTGGTACATACCCCGGACGAGCCTGCACACCACAGTTTTATATTAATATTAGAAACCTAACTATATTCTGCATTCTGTAAAACAGCAGTGTGACTTTGCTTTTGACACTCTTACGCGTTGGGAAGAGTTTGCTAGCGCTATAAAACGTCGTCATGTTTTGGAAATACTTGAAAGTATTGAATTAGTCGTTCTCAACCTGGCGTATCCAAAACGTGAATTATATATTATACTAGGTGATCCGGCAAACGTTGTTTTGCCATATAAATTATTTGTACGGTAGAAAAGAAATGTTATAAATCTATTCTCATACCTACTGAATATAGGTGCTACATAAAAAAAATTATCAAAATCGGCCAAGCCGTTTCGGAGGAGCATAAACACTAAAACTGTGACACAAGAATTATATATATATAATATTTTAACCTTTTTCCTGTCGGCACTAACCATATTCTAAATCATATGCAATCATTCTAAGCATATGCAAAGCAATGACATCAGCACTAAAATTATCGAATATCTACAAACTAACTCCAACCACCGACATGTACTACTATATGAGTCCGTGAATGCGTGCGTGCGTGCGTGCGTGCGTGCGTGCGTGCGTGCGTGCGTGCGTGCGTGCGTGCATGCGTGCGTCCGTCCGGCTCCCATACAACCAGCATGATTTTTGCCGTTTTTGTGCTTATAGATAATGGTACGGAACCCTTTGCGCGCGAGTCCGACTCGCACTTAGCCGGTTTTTTTTATACTTCAAAGGGGAAACGTGTTACTTAATATACGTACTGGCTTCCGTACGCACTAACAAAATGTTTACCTAGAGCTATGTTTCTTAATCTATACAGTACAGGTAAATAAAATTGGAGTGTCTGTTTGTAATATTAAAATAACCGCTTTTTACTAAATGCATATGGATGTTTGTATACATACCAAAATAATATACCAAAATAATTATTTTTACAATTTTCGTTTCTGTCTGTCTGTTTGTTCCGACAAATCTCTGAATGGCTGGACCGATTTGAACGGGACTTTCAATGACACATGGGTGATGTAATAAGGAGTAACTTTGGCTACTTTTATTATAGATTTTTTTATTTTTAATTCCACGCGGACGAAGTCGCGGGCACAGCTAGTTATCATATAAATCTGTATCTCATAATAAGAGGTCTTTCGCATAGCTTTTACAGCATCCACGACTATGTCATAGAAGCCATGAAAAAAACATCACCAGTGTCATGTCTGATAGTTTGAGCCGGCAGCAGCGCTCTCTAACACGCCCTGCGTCAACACTATTGTCAGCAAATAGGTCAACTATTGATTTCTTTATCGAAATAGATGTACAATATCTATAGATAATATTACGTCACTGTTTGCGATTTCGGCCTCACAGACAGTAGACAACGTAAAACTGCATTGCATCATCGTTTTTAAAGTCGATGTTCGTTCCTGGATTTTCGAACATATTTTTTTTATTTTATACATAAAAAGCCAGATTTTTTTAAAGATATAAAATATGTTTTGATATACAATTTTTTCAATATAAAAATTGCAAATTAGCAAGAAATAATAGTGCACATATATATGTATATATATATATATATATATATATATATATATATGTAAAGAAACTATATTTCTTTAATATGTACAGCGCTCTTCTGTCAGTGACCATACTCATGTACGCTATAGATGGCTCTGTGAGTAATGGCGGTCATATATGAATTGACAGATGAGTTGTGATGGAGCATAATTATTTTTAGTTAATAAAAATTGTATAAGAAGGAATTGATAATTGGAAGAATAGACTTTAAATGTCGTTTCTTTGGTTTTTCAGGTAGGATAGCATGATTTAATCTAAAAGTGTAATTATAATTATGTGTATGTAAAATTTGAAATAAAATCTTTGTTTTCAGAGCAACACGATTGTTTATTTGACATTTACAATTCCTAATAAGTTTGGAGTTATTGTCTTATAAAACGACATTTCTAGTTCAAATTAAGAGGAATGGAAAAGCTAAAATTTAGATTTGAAGTATTGGGATCAGCGGACGGAAAAACAAAT